CTCTTCCCTGGGACTTCTGCAACCACAAGCAGAAGAGGGCAGATGGCATTTTAATATGGTAATTCCACTGGAAAAAAGCCCTGTGATTTAATATTATTAATTTGACAGGCAGAAATGTACGGAACTGTACTGAATCAATTTAACCAACTTCTCTCCATTTAGTACCAATTACACTTCATTCAACCAGGGAGGACTACAAAAAATATCCAGCGAGTAGATCTAAGAGCTTGCTGTAAAGCACTTCATTTCGAAGACATCTTCCTAAAACATTTAGAGGTTTATTTTCCAAAAGATTTATATTTTATAAATTAAACAAAGGCTTCTTCTTTTCTTTTACAGAACTCTTACGTTTAAGATAACAGTTTGCATATGATTACTACTTTTTTTTTTTAGAATCCTTGAGAGTTTACGTGAGGATGCTAGTAGTTCAGTCCTGAATGAAAAGAGAAAAAGAGAGAAAAGAACTCCAAATTCAGCTACATCAGAAAACTAGAAAACACGGTTTCGGTGCATACACTGGGCAGAACGTGCACATTAAAACTCACTACCCTGCTGTGAGCAGCCTTTGCATTCATTACATGTTATGCTAACATACTGGATTTATGTTAAATTCCACAAACTGAATGTTTTTATAGAAGGGGAATGTGTAGGTTATTATTAATTCAAACTCCGCTTTTCTGATTACCAACCACATGCCAGACACAAGTGACACACTAGAAACACAAGCATAAGATACCAGCTCTATCCTCAAGGAATGGGCAGCATAGCTATTTAAGCGCTGGCACCTGCCAGTCCTCTGAATGGGGAGTGTGATTTTAGGGTCAATGCTAGGGACTGGCGGAGAACACAGCCACACCATGGCCTGCCTGCCTGCCACCTTCCAGACCTCCCCACACCCGCGGAGGCCCCTGGCCTCTTTTCTTTCTCACCCACACTCAGACCCTGGGTGACCTCATCTGATGTGACCTCCAGTATATCCCCAGCCCAGGCTTATTCTTTTAGCTCCAAACCTGTAGACCCAAAAGCCCGCTGGGCATTGCTACAAGGATGTCTAATAGGCACCGCACATTCACACACATAAATCCAAACTCACGACAGAAAGCTTTCCACCAGACAGGACCTCCCCAAGTCCTCTCCATCTGAGTTTCTTGGCTCAGGCCATACCCTGTGGGACCATCTTTAACTCCTCCCTTCCTACCCATCCCTCTCCCAACTTCCAATCTGTAAACAGATTCTATTGTCTCAACCTTCAAAACACATGCAGAAGTCCACCTCTTACCCACCAGGAGCTAAGCCACTGGCATCTCCTTGCTGGCTTGTTCAAGAGTCTCTTAGCTGGCCTCCCTGCCTCTGCCTTGCCCCTCCTGCAGTATATTCTCAAAAGAGATGCCAGAGCAAGGCTGTTAAACACAGCCTATCATGTTACTCCTCCCCTGGAACAAAACCTTCCGAAGGGTTGCCATCCTATTCAGAATAAACCCTGAAGTACTCACTACGACCTAGCAAGGCACCACCACTGAGCCCAAGTCACCTCTCTAGCCTCAGCTCCTGCCTCTCTCGCCGCCACCCGCTGCCCCCAAGCCACACCAGGCTCTTGCTACTTGCCCTTCCTCCTACACGGCTCTTCGGTCTTGGTCAGAACTGCACCTTCAGAGTGACAGCTTTCCTGGCCATCCTGACTACAATTTCAGTTCTCCTCATCCTGTCATCCTTGGTCCAAATCACTGTCCCCCAGCAGCCACAGACGTTGGGGCTAATGCTGGTCTTACGTCCAGAACATCGGCTACCTCCGGCGGTTTTCATCCATGCTATTTACTTCTCTGGTCCTAGTGTCTACAGCAATGCCTAACACATACTTGGCAGTGAGCAATAAACAGCGTATTGAATGAATGACTACCAGGACAGAGAGAAACTATATTACACATGGTCGAGGAAGGCAGGATCTTCAAGAACTCCAGAGATCAAAGGAGGGTGGATCGTTTTTTTTTTTTGAAACGCAGTCTTGCTCTGTCGCCACGCTTGAGTGCAACGGCACAATCTTGGCTCACTGCAACCTCTGCCTCCTGGGTTCAAGTGATTCTCCTGTCTCAGCCCCCTGAGTAGCTGGGACTACAGGTGCCCACCACCATGCCTGGCTCATTTTTGTATTTTTAGTAAAAACAGGGTTTCACCATGTTGGCTAGGATGGTCTCAATCTCCTGACCTCGTGATCCACCCACCTCAGCCTCCCAAAGTGTTGGGATTATAGGTGTGAGCCACCGCACCTGGCCAGAGTGGATCATTAATCATCCCTGAAAGGAAATACAGCATCAACTTAGAAGGAAAAGTCCCCATGATATCCTACAAACATCATATAAGTTTTTATCAGCATGAACAGAGACCTTTAAATGCAAACACCTTTTCTATTTTGATCCCACAAGCAGCAGCATCCAGTGTCCGTATCATCATGTCAATTTGGTTGTCAAGGAAAAATAAGAGATAAAAACAAAGTAACATCATGTAAGAACATAACTGTTCTCCTAACTTGATGATTTTCACATTTTAAGTCATATGACTGACACTAAACTGTGTATTTGACCTTAACCAAGTCTCTCACATAATACTTCAGCCTCAAGGTATCCAAATGATGGAGGCAGGAGGCAGACAAACACTAGGCAGACAGGGGCAGGAACCAGTGAAACCCAATCTTCATGCCACACTTTAAAGTTAAAGCCTGAAAGCCAATCTACGAGTCTCGGATAAATCCAAGGACTGGATTTAGAATCTCTCTTGCTTGTTTCCTCTCTTTCCCTCCATTCCGTTTCCCTCCCTTTCTCTCCTGCCCTTCCCTTTAAAAAATAATTTTTTTAAAAAAGAGAGAATCTCTCTTCCTGTTTGGTTGCACTTTCCTCTGATTAATCCCCACCCTTCACCTATTTTACACATACCTACCCTTCTTTAATTGGCTTATTACACTGTTGTCCCCACCTTTGGGTGGTGACTTTATTTTAGCCTTTTTTGCATACCCACAAACCAATTGGCATACACTCCTCATTCTGGGCCCATAAAAGCCCTGGACTCAGCCGCCAAGAAAGACCACTCAACTCTGGGTAGAAGACCATCGCTGAGTCCCCTCTCTGCTATGAGCTGTTTCATCACTCAATAAAACTATTCTCCACCCTCTTTACCCTTCAATTGCCAGCATAATCTCATTCTTCTTGGATGTGGGACAAGAACTAGGGACCCAATACATGCAGGTACAAAGAAGGCTGTAACACTGTGGCCCTCTGCCCTCTGCTGGCAAATGGCAGCTGCCCCACATGACAGGAAGCAGCAATGGGAAGCAGCATCAGGGCAGAGCCAGCCCCAGAACTATAGGCTGGGACAGGGCAATGGGTGTGACACAGCTGTTGACACACCGTAACATCCCCTCTTCTTGGGCTTCAGGGTTGCAAGCACCCCTACATGGGTGCCATTGCCTTCCCCCTGTCTGGACACTGGAATCTACCGTCCCCTCGTCTGGACGCTGGAGTCCACTGGGAGAGTTGCTTGCCACATGTCCAGCTGTAAGCTCTGCAGAGCCCACACTCGGTTGCTGGTGCTTGGAACAGCTGGCAGGACCCTGCACTCACTCACTCTCACACCCACTCAGGCCAGGGGCTGAGCATGGAGTCATGGTGGCCATGGCATCCATGCCAGAGTGCAAACCAGGTGCCACCGGGCGGGTCAAGCAGACAGGGCATCTCCTGCGGCAAGCCTGGACCCAAGCAAGGCCTAGGCAGGCTATCACCAGCCAGAGGTCTCCAGCTGGCAAAGTGGCTGAGAAAAATCCTGCATCGCAAATAACAACAGTAAAAAAAGTAAACAAATAGTACACAGCTGTAAATAGCACAACTGTGTCTGACAGTTATTTTAAAAACAAACTTCACAAGATCTACACCTGGTCAACATGCTCTTAGGGAGTCAGGGCTCCAGCTTCCTCCAGCCACCTAACACATTTACGCGGTGAGCTGCTACAGACCATTTAAATAGATATTGGCCACACACATTAGAGTTTTCCAACTCAGATCTTGGTAAATTTACGTTGTAGCTGGCAGGAAAAGTAAAAACAATGCCTTTCAGAATGACAGAATTAAACCAGATGAAAATCTTCCTTTACAGACGGGGGATACTTGATAGAAGGCAAATCAGTTCCCACAAAGGATGAGAGGACTAAAGCTAGACCGCTACTGGGGAAGCGATGGGTTTCGTACTGACTTAATATATCTTGCCAAGCATAACAGGATAGGCAAAAACACCAACACTCCACACACACACACACACACACACACACACACACACACACACTCCCTCCCTCCCTCCCTCTCTCTCTCTCTCTCCCCCCCCCCCCCTTAGGACCCCAAGAAACTAAGACCGATGAGACAAATTTACTGTTTCTCTTTCTCGTCACGGAAAAGAAGCCTGGAGGATCTACTGGTTACTAAATGGAAGACAAAAACAAAAACGATGCGTATACTGCCATGTACACGGCATGTTTCTCGCCTCCAGCCAACCAGTAACTTCATAAAAGTTAAGAGAGTTTCCATCCCTTCACGCTCGGCTGCGGGAAGGCTACGCTTTCACCCGCCGCTCGCGTCCCCGCCCGGACCGCGGCCGCCCAGTCCGCCACGGCGCTTCTGCCCGCCCGGCAGGCCCCGCCGCCCTCCACGGCCGACCTGGCGCAACGGACTGTGCAGCCACAACCTCCGGAGCGTTCCGGACGGAAACGAAAAGCAGCAAAAAGCTCCAGCGCGACCGACGGCCGGATCTGCGGCGCCGTCCCCCTCCGCGCCCACCGCCCACCGCCCACCGCCCAACACCGCCCCACGCTCCCGCAGCGCCCGCACCCGTCGCTCTGGCCCAGCCTGACCCGCCCTGGCGTGCCCCGGGGCGAGTCGCGGCAGCTTCGCTCGAGGAGGGGAGGCCGAGGGCAAGGCGAACATCATCTCCCGCGGAAAGGCCGGCCCCCGACAACTTCTCACCTGCGTCCATCTTTCCTGTCCGGCCGCCGACTGACCTGAGCGGCGTCGCTCCGACGGGCCCGCAGCGCGACGCGGCGACGGGACGCCGCGGGGGCCAATCGGGGCGCGGGCGCAGGCGGCGAAGATGATACGGCGCGCGACCGGAAATACGCGGGAGCCGCCATTTTGGCGTACGGCCGGGCGGACGCGAGCCCCGGGGTGCCCCGTGGGTGGCGTGGGGACGTGTCGCGGGACGATGGCTCGCTCTGCTCTCCGACGGGACACTGCGTGCCATGGGTGGCGCTTCCTCCTCTTAGAAGACCCAGGAGCAGTTGTCGAGGCGGTAGAGGCGGGCTGGTTACCCGTCCGAGCAGCCATCTTGCAGTACGGACGTGCCCGGCGCGCCCATGTCGCCGTACGGAGTTGCCGAGCCCGGGCAACTCCCCCGCCCGCCTGCCCGCCTGCCGGCCGACGCTGCGAGGGTCCGCTTGCGCCCCGCTGGTCCCGAAGACGCCCGAGCGCGCGGCGGGAGAGGGCGCGGTGGGGGGCGGGGGCGGGACCGCGACGGGCGCTGAGCCGCCATCTTGCCGTACGGCGCGGACGCCGCGGGCCGGCCCACGTCCCGAGCCGTGTCGCCGCCGCGCTCCCTCCCTCGGGGCGGTCCGCGGGCGGGCGGGCGGCGAGGGCCGGGGCCTGGCGGCGCGGCTGGGCCGAGGCCCGAGATGGTGATCTGCTGTGCGGCCGTGAACTGCTCCAACCGGCAGGGCAAGGGCGAGAAGCGCGCCGTCTCCTTCCACAGGTACGCGGGCCCCGGGCCGCCACGCCCCCGCCCCGGCCCCACGGGGAAACTGAGGCCGCGCGGCCGGCCCGAGCGCAGGGGCCGGGGGGCGCGGGCCTTGGCGGCCGGGGCGCGGGGCGGGGGCGCGGGCGCTGTGTGACCTTGGCCCGGCCGCCGTCTCTGGGCCGGGTTCGGGCAGCGCGGCCGCCCCCACCCCGGCCGCCCGGGTCCGCCCTGCGCGCGATGGATCCGGCCGGCGCCGGGGCTTCAGACGCCGCACGTTCTAGAAGCTGGACCGGGGCCGCGACTGCTGCCTCTCGGGACCGCGGGCGGCCGGCCTCGATGTCTGCGAGCGGGAGCGGCGCGGCAGGCTGGCAGCCCCCGGGAGGGCTTTCCGGGACGCGGGGCCGCTCTGAGAGCCCCGGGCGGCCGGCCGGGGACCGCATCCTTCCGCGCCCGGGGGCGCCTGGCCCGGGCCCGGCTCTCGGCCACTTCCCACGTGGGCCCCCGCGGCAGGGCCCAAACCCCCTTCAGGCCTTGTGGGTTCAGGCCATTTCAGTGAGATTTATGCGGATTGCACGCGGGAGGCACCAGAACAGGGAACAGACTTTAAAAACCACTTTGCAGATGTTGCTTTTTTATGCTGCGTGGTGTTAAGTTTTAAAGACGGGAATGGCACGTGTTATTTATAGTGTTATTGAAAGTTCACGGTGTTCCGCTGTACATCTGCAATCATTACAGTGTATCAGAAGAATTAGTAACGTTAGATTTCTTCACAAGCAGCCAGCACGCTTTCTTGACAATTTCTTTCAGAGCTTGTGTCCTAGAAGTTTTGTTACTGTTCTTGAAAAGGAGGCGACGTGTTGCAACGGTCTAACATGGTATAGGGGAAAGGGCAGTGAAATTGGGGGTGAGGGGCCTGTCTTTGGAGTTGGCCTCACAAAGCGTTCAGAAAGGCGGTTAGAAGGTCTGTTGCTTAGTATGCCCCAGTTCATCCTGTTAGGGTTTGTCCTGGTCCACACTGGCCTCAGGTGGAGCAAATAGCAGTTAGAACTGATCTCTCCACCCCTCATGTGCACATTTGGGCGTGTTTTTTTAATTTTTTATTTTTTTTGAGATGGAGTCTCTGTCACCCAGGCTGGAGTGCAGTGGTGCGATCTTGGCTCACCACAACCTCCACCTTGTAGGTTCAAACGATTCCCCTGCTTCAGTCTCTCAAGTAACTGGGATTACAGGCACGTGCCACCACGGTCTAATTTTTTGTATTTTTAGTAGAGACAGGGTTTCGCCATATTGGTCTTGAACTTCTGACCTCAAGTGATCCGCCCACCTCAGCCTCCCAGTAGTGCTGGATTACAGGCGTGAGCCACCGTGCCCGGCCAGGCCTGTTTTCTTAAACACAGAACTTGCCTTAATGAAGAAATAGTTATGAAGAATCTTTATTAGATAATAAAGAAGAAATGACTAAGTATCCTATTCAGTATCTTCCAGTGCTGCTTGTTTTTTTCCCCAAATTTTAAATTATGGTATAATACACATAACATGAAATTTACCATCCTAACTCTTTTTGGAAACAGAGTCCTACTCTGTCACCCAGGCTGGAGTGCATTGGTGTGATCAACCTCCTGGACCCAAGCGAAACTCCCACCTCAGCCTCCAGTGTACCTGGGATCACAGGCACGAGCTGCGGCTCCCAGCCGTTCCTAACCCTTTTTCAGTGCAGTCCGTAGCAGTAAATACTTTCACGTTGTTGTGCAGCCATTGTCACCATCCAGCTCCAGAATTATTCTTACTTTGTAAAGCCAAATCCCTGCACCCGTGAAACACTAACTCCCCAGTCCTCCTCTCCTTACGCTCTGGCAACCCCCATTTTCCTGTCTCTATGAATTTGATTAAGTACTTCATATGAGTGGTGCCATGCAGTGTTTGGCTTTTTGCAACCGGCTTTTTTTTTGGAGACAGAGTCTCTCTGTCACTCAGGCTGGAGTGCAGTGGCGCGATCTCAGCTGGCTTCAAACTCTGACTCCTGGGCTCAAGTGATTCTCCTGCCTCAGCATCCCGAGTAACTAGGAATATAGTGCCACCTCGCCTGGCTAATTTTTATATTTTTAGTAGAGACAGGGCTTCACCATGTTGGCCAGGCTGGTCTCGAACTCCTGACCTCAGGTGATCCTCCCACCTCCGCCTCCAAAAGTGCTGGGATTACAGACTTGAGCCACTGCACCCAGCCACAGCTGGCTTTTTCATTCAGTATACTGTCGTCAAGATTCATCTGGGTTGGTTGAGTTTTTTGAGGGGAGAGGACGGGGTCTCTCTCTGTTGCCCAGCCTGGGGAGCCCTGGTGCAATCCTAGGTCACTGTAACTTCGAATTCCTGGACTCAAAGAATTCTCAAGCCTCAGTCTCCCCAGTAGCTAGAACTGCAGGTGAGCATCACTGTGCCCTGCCCCGGGCTCGCCGACTTTTATAAGGAGCATTTTTACTCCTGGAGGTGGACATGCAGCAGGACCACAGAACCGCAGCTCTGGAGTCTTCTGGAGGGCTCCACATTCTCGGCTGCTTGCGCACAGCTAGGGCTGCCTCTGTGCTGTCCTGACCTCTCACTCTCCCATCTCTGTAGAAGCTGGCCCTGGCTTTAGCACCCAAAGTCTTACCTTCCAGGCAGGTCGGAGGGTTGGTTAGCAGTCAGCTTCTAGGGGCTATTTCCTGCTGTCCCGAGGCCATCGTTGCCCTGTCTCTAGCATCCTATGTCCCCATCGGGCATGTACCACAGCCTGGGAGGAGTTAGTTACCTTCATTCCCATCTGCCCTGCAGACTGTAAGCTCCTTAAGGCTAGACAGTGGGTCTTTCAGATTTCTACTCCAGTAATAATTGCAGATAGAAGATGTTCCTTAAATCTTTTTGAAGTAGTTTTTTTTTTTTGTAAAAAAATTGTAATAATTTTTTCTTTTCATGAGGTCCAATCAGCATTGAAGTATTTTTTTTTAAATGGATGAAATCAGTACAGCTTTGAGTGTTTTACTTTTACAGTTGATCATTTTAAAGGGAGACATTATTTCTAATTACTTTGCCGTTTGTCTTGTAGGTTCCCCCTGAAGGACTCAAAACGTCTAATCCAATGGTTAAAAGCTGTTCAGAGGGATAACTGGACTCCCACTAAGTATTCATTTCTCTGTAGTGAGCATTTCACCAAAGACAGCTTCTCCAAGAGGCTGGAGGACCAGCACCGCCTGCTGAAGCCCACGGCTGTGCCATCCATCTTCCACCTGACCGAGAAGAAGAGGGGGGCTGGAGGCCATGGCCGCACCCGGAGAAAAGATGCCAGCAAGGCCACAGGGGGCGTGAGGGGACACTCGACTGCTGCCACTGGCAGAGGAGCTGGTTGGTCACCATCCTCAAGTGGAAACCCAATGGCCAAGCCAGAGTCCCGTAGGTTGAAGCGAGCTGCTCTGCAGGGTGAAGCCGCACCCAGGGCGGCCCGGGAGGCTGCCAGCCAGGAGCAGGCCCAGCAAGCCCTGGAACGAACTCCAGGAGACGGACGGGCCACCACGGTGGCAGGCAGCCAGGGAAAAGCAGAAGTGTCTGCCGCAGATGCTGGCAAGGAGAGCCCCACCTCCTCCGTGGAAGGGGCTGTGGCAGATAAGAGCGGCATTTCCGTGGAGGACTTTACGCCCCCGGGATCTGGTGCGTGCAAATTTATCGGCTCGCTTCATTCATACAGTTTCTCCTCCAAGCACGCTCGAGAAAGGCCGTCTGTGCCCCGAGAGCCCATTGACCGCAAGAGGCCGAAGAGAGATGTGGAGCCGAGCTGCAGTGGGAGCAGCTTGGGGCCCGACAAGGGCCTGGCCCAGAGTCCCCCCGGCTCGTCACTCACCGCGACACCGCAGAAGCCTTCCCAGAGCCCCTCCGCCCCTCCTGCCGACGTCACCCCGAAGCCAGCAACGGAAGCCGTGCAGAGCCAGCATAGCGACGCCAGCCCCATGTCCATCAACGAGGTCATCCTGTCGGCGTCGGGGGCCTGCAAGCTCATCGACTCGCTGCACTCCTATTGCTTCTCCTCCCGGCAGAACAAGAGCCAGGTGTGCTGCCTGCGGGAGCAGGTGGAGAAGAAGAACGGGGAGCTGAAGAGCCTGCGGCAGAGGGTCAGCCGCTCCGACAGCCAAGTGCGGAAGCTCCAGGAGAAGCTGGACGAGCTGAGGAGAGTGAGCGTCCCCTGCCCGAGTGGCCTGCTGTCGCCCAGCCGCGGTCAGTACCAGAGCGTCTCGTTCTGTGCTCTCTTGCCGCTAGGAGGGGTTTCTCTGCAAGGTGGCCCACGTCCCCTCAGCATTCCTGGGGGGTCTCGAGCTCCCTGCGCTCTCAGGAGGAAGTGCTGGTCGTAGCCATACCTTGTGGACGAGGGAACCCAGGTTAGAAAGCAGGCCTCGCTGCACCCGGTCCCACGAGGCATCTGTGTGTGTAGGGGTGTAGCCTGTAAAGGGGGCAGGCAGCGTGCGTTAGCGGGGAGCACCGGAACAGCTCTGCAGAGAGTGCACAGGTCAAGGTGGCTTCTGTTTCATACCTTAACGCAACAGAAATTCCAGATGACTTAGGGGCTAAATGAAGAATGAGAGTAAAC